TTCACGCAGCGTGTGCAGATTTTAGATAAAAGGAAACATCTACAGAAATCTAATATAAATGTCCACCCTCTCAGTTTCTCTGCTGTCTCTATTTGACAAACCAAAAGCTATTTGAAAACACAGGACTGTTTCCGAGATCCAGTTTGAATAGTTGATCCCTACTTTCTGTGATGTGCTTTTTTTCTTTACTTTTTACATTAAGGGGGGCAAAGCCATCCTGTATCATGCTGAGGTAAAAACTAAAATGGTGCAGCTATTTTTATTTTTATTTGTACTTTTACTTTTATTATTTTGTTGTTTGTGTTGGTGTTGTTATTTTGACTACTGAGCTTCTCTGAAAGAGTCATACTTAAGCCTGTCAAAAATACTACATCCCCATGTTATACCCAGACAAATACTCATGGTGTCAGTATGTACCAGTAAACGAGAGGGTTCAGTCACTCTCCACCCTTCTGTCTCATCGAATTTAAAGCCTGACTCGTCTGTTGTACCACATATTGCAAAACCGCTTCATGGTATGACCGCGCAGTGTCGATTTTTTAAATATATGTGTACTGGATGATATCAAGGATATAATACATTTCATATCGTTGGTAGCACTTGTGGTCTGTCTTGCAGTAACAATGGGATGCAGCATAATCGCGCTGATCTGCGGCCTTGCTTTTATTTTTCTTGTCCTCCACCCCGTCTGTGGAGACGTGAGCTACTCTATTCCGGAGGAGATGAAACGTGGATCTGTAATTGGAAATATCGCTAAGGATCTGGGACTTGATGTGGGCCGACTGTCTGCTCGCAAGGCCCGTATCGATACAGAGGATAACAACGTCCAGTACTGCAGTGTAAATCTCAACACCGGAGACCTGATCGTACAAGAAAGGATTGACAGAGAGGGGCTTTGTGCGAAAAAGGCATCGTGTGTTGTAAAACAGGAACTCGTGCTGGAAAACCCATTAGAGCTGCACCGTATTAGTATCCGCGTTCAAGATATTAACGACAATTCACCTCAGTTTAAAGATGATTCAGTTAAGATTGAAATTCGGGAATCGGCCGTCAAGGGTGCTCATTTTCTTCTGGGAGAGGCACATGATGAAGACATCGGAGAAAATGCTGTTCAGGGCTACTCACTTCAGCAGAATGATCATTTCAAATTAAATGTAAACATGAAATCCGACGGACGGAAGCACTGTGAATTAGTGTTAGACAGAGAATTGGACAGAGAGGACAAAAAAGAGATTTTGTTGTTGCTTACCGCATTTGATGGTGGCTCTCCTCAGAGATCAGGTACTGTAGTCATACACGTCACTGTGCTGGATGCTAATGATAATGTACCAGTGTTCAGCCAGGCCGTTTATAAAGCCAGTCTGCCAGAAAACTCTCCTCTGGATACACTGGTGATCACAGTGAGTGCTACTGATGCAGATGAAGGTTTAAATAGCGAAATAACTTATGGATTTGATCATGTTTCAGATAAAGATAACGTGTTTTCTTTAGACTCCAAATCGGGAGAGGTGAGAGTAGCTGGAGCTATTGATTATGAGAAAGTGTCATCATATGAAATGCAGATTAGTGCAAAGGATGGTCTTGGATTGGCGTCATATGCAACAGTAATACTTGATATTACGGATGTGAATGACAACGCCCCAGTGATATATTTGAAATCACTGACTAACCCCATACCTGAGAATGTGTCACCTGGTACAGAGGTGGGCATCATTAACGTGCAGGATAGAGACTCTGAGAATAACAGACAGGTCCGCTGCTCCATTCAGCAAAACGCCCCTTTTAAGTTGGTTCCTTCTATTAAAAACTATTATTCTCTGGTGACCACAGGACAACTGGACCGTGAAGTAGTGTCTGATTACAACATTACAATCACTGCCAGTGACGAGGGCTCTCCACCTCTGTCCTCCTCTAAAAGTGTTGAGTTATCTGTAGCAGACATCAACGACAACCCACCTGTGTTTGAGGAACAGTCGTACAGCGCATATGTGAGTGAAAATAACAAACCTGGCTCCACTTTATGTTCCGTTAGTGCTCGAGACCCCGACTGGAGACAAAACGGTACAGTGATTTATTCTCTGTTACCCGGTGAGGTGAACGGTGCCCCGGTGTCGTCCTATGTGTCTGTTAACGGAGACACGGGGGTGATCCACGCTGTGAGGTCGTTTGATTATGAACAGTTGAGGAGTTTTAAAGTCCACGTGATGGGCAGAGACAACGGTTCTCCTCCGCTGAGCAGCAACGTGACCGTCAGTGTGTTCATATCGGATGTGAATGACAACTCTCCTCAGATACTGTACCCCGGGCCGGAGGGCAACTCCTTCATGACCGAGCTGGTCCCCAAAGCTGCACACGGAGGCTCTCTGGTGTCCAAAGTGATCGCGGTGGACGCGGACTCCGGACAGAACGCCTGGCTGTCCTATGATATAGTGAAATCCACAGATCCGGGCCTTTTCACTATTGGTGTCCACAGCGGAGAGATCAGGACACAGCGGGACATTTCCGAGTCTGACAGCATGAAACAGAACCTGATTGTGTCAGTGAAAGATAACGGACAGCCCTCTCTGTCTGCCACCTGTTCCATGTATTTACTGATTTCTGATAACTTGGCTGAGGTGCCAGAACTGAAGGACATTTCTTATGATGAGAAGAATTCCAAACTGACGTCTTATCTGATCATCGCGCTGGTGTCTGTGTCGACGTTTTTCCTGACCTTCATCATTATCATCTTGGGTGTGAGGTTTTGTCGCAGGAGAAAGCCCAGACTGTTGTTTGATGGAGCAGTTGCCATCCCCAGCGCTTATCTCCCTCCTAATTACGCAGATGTTGGCGGCACAGAAACTTTACGCAGCACTTACAATTATGACGCCTACCTGACAACAGGTTCAAGAACCAGTGACTTTAAGTTCGTGTCATCTTACAATGACAACACATTGCCTGCTGACCAGACTCTGAGGAAAAGTCCGTCAGACTTTGCTGATGTCTTTGGAGATAGTGATGGCTCTCCCGAGGTAGGGACATATTTTATCATACCGAACTCGTGTTCCACAAAAATGCTCGTACCAAAGCTGAACTGCTCTCAGAGCAACTTAAGCAATTTCTAAACTACCTCTCTCCCCTAAACCTGAACCTCAGTGCTCACACACACACACACACACACACACACACACACACACACACACTTTTGTTTTTTATGTCTATGTTTCTCTGTCTGGTTTCATCACTGTTATTTTCTGTATTCCAGTGAGGGAACATTTTGAGAATTAGGGTCTTTGTTTCTCTGTCCTTGGTGCTGAACCCGTTTGCTCCTCTGATGCCTCTATAGAATTAGTTTTCTTCTGGGTTTTATGGTGTTGGCATTCCTTCCCTTTGCTGACTTCCGTTTCAGTGCATTTGCTACTTTACAGACTTTGCTACAACAGTTCTATTTTCTTGATGATTTCAGATGAATCTGTGTTTGCTGTAATATGGTACCAGTGTCTGTGTGTTTTCTGAGTTTGTACTCATTACAAGGTTGTCATACTTTAGAGGTAATGGGATATGTAGAGCACTAAGATGAAATTAAAGAAGGAGCCTTTGTGTTTAGTGTTTTTTGCACGTGGACTCTCACTGTCCTAACTTGGTTTTCTTCAATGATTGGCGTGTGCATTCGTGAAACGTGCATACTCCCTTGAATTACTGTGGCAGACAGTCTTTGGAATCAAGTGCCCTCCCACGCTGCTAACTTTTTGTGTTTGCAATGTAGAAGTGTTGCACTTGTTTCCCTCATAGGTACTATAGTTTTTTTTTCCTGTAGCAAGTAGCACTATTACAAACACTTTACAATACAAAATGAATGCAAATGAATGCATACCAAATACAAGTCTCTGCATTGATCTTTTTACAGAGCAGCTTGGAGAATCTGTAGTTTTATCCAAAAAGCTTGATAGTGTTGTATTTGATGCATTTCTACTATTTTGATTTTATAAATTAGATTTCAGAGCCATTTCCTTTAACTTTGCAACAACTGTTGATCTTTGTCAACTTATTTGAAGTTTGCACTGTACTTAAAAATGTAGCATAAAACAATAGCACACAATGTTTAAAACTTGAACTAAAACATGAATCTTCTGTCACTGATTCTTAAGTGTTGTCAAATATTTTGTTGTTGCTTATCACTGTGAGCATTAACACAATGACCTATGTAAGATGTGTGAGCCTATCCTTGAGTTGTAAACATTCTCACATGATTCAAGACTGAGATGTGTCTGAATCCAGTGCATTAAATTAAATCATAAAGCTGTTTGTGACATGTTTAAAAGCACACATTTCAATTTAGTGTCTATAACAGGGGGTTCAGACTCGTTGGTTAAAACACAGTGATACATCCCCACATACACTCTATATGCAAATTTACAAAGTCAACAGTGTTTTCTTATAGGATGTGAGCAATAGAAGGGGTATATAAACACAATTAAAATGTGCATATGTGTTAATTGATCCTATCGGTTAACAACATGAGGAGCATGCAGACAGAAAATAAAACGTGACTATCATTTCATCAACGATGGACATTATATTTGTGGACATCAGTTGTCATGCAGTTTTGATATAAAATGAAACAGTTACAGAAAAACTCTAATATGAAAGTGCTGTCCTTTTTTTGTCTTCAGACACAGTTTACGTGCATTTTTTAATTGTTGTTTGAAACATGGGCTCCTCCCCAAGGACAGTTACAACAGTGGCATGATAATGTTAATTTTGTCCGTCACAAGTGGTCTAATGGCAGAATACCACATGTCAATACCCATGATGAGATAAACCTAAATAGTAAGTAATGTATTTGTTTTTTGTTTTCTGATAAATAAGGATAATTAAAATTGTGTATGTGGAAAGGAAAAGAAAAAAACCCTACACCGTGTTGTTATACCTAAACTTACACTCATGGTGTCAGTGTGTACCAGCAAACGAGAGGGCACGGTCACTCTCCACCCTTCTGTGTCAGCGAATTTAAAGCCTGGCTCTGCTGTCTTTTCGCCGTTGACAAAAAGCGCTTCGTGTGGGACTGCAATGTGACTGTTTTTGTTTGCTGGCAGGCATCACGACTACATCGCTGACATATTTTTATCTTCTTTGCCATATTTCAATTGTTTATGAGTTCTTTCTCATGGTAACAATGGGATACAGCGGATATGCACTGCTCAGCGGCCTTGCTTTTATTTTTCTTGTCCTCCACCCCGTCTGTGGAGACGTGAGCTACTCTGTCCCGGAGGAGATGAAACGTGGATCTGTGATTGGAAATATCGCTAAGGATCTGGGACTTGATGTGGGCAGACTGTCTGCTCGCAAGGCCCGTATCGATACTGAGGATAACAGTGTAAAATACTGCGGTGTAAATCTCAACACTGGAGACCTGATCGTACAGGAAAGGATTGACAGAGAGGGGCTTTGTGCGAAAAAGGCATCGTGTGTTGTAAAACAGGAACTCGTATTGGAAAACCCATTAGAGCTGCACCGTATTAGTATCCGCGTTCAAGATATTAACGACAATTCACCTCAGTTTAAAGAGGAGACGCTGAAAATTGAAATTCAGGAATCGGCGGACAAGGGTGCCAATTTTCTGTTGGATGAGGCACACGATGGAGACATCGGAGAAAATGCTGTTCAGGGCTACTCACTACAGCAGAATGATCATTTCAAATTAAATGTAAAGACAAAGGGCGGTGGACGAAAATATGGTGAATTAGTCTTAGATAAAGAATTAGACAGAGAGGACAAAAAAGAGATTATGTTGTTGCTTACCGCATTTGATGGTGGCTCTCCTCAGAGATCAGGTACTGTAGTCATACACGTCACTGTGCTGGATGCTAATGATAATGTACCAGTGTTCAGCCAGGCCGTTTATAAAGCCAGTCTGCCTGAAAACTCTCCTGTAGATACTGTTGTACTTGCAGTGAGTGCTACTGATGCAGATGAGGGAATGTATGGTGACGTTACCTACGGTTTTGACCATGTTTCAGATGAAAACCAAGTTTTCTCTCTGAACCCCAAAACGGGTGAAATTAAAGTGTCTGGATCTATTGATTATGAAAAAGAATCGTCATATGAAATGCAGATTAGTGCAAAGGATGGTCTTGGATTGGCGTCATATGCAACAGTAATAATTGATATTACGGATATAAATGACAACGCCCCAGTTATATATCTGAAATCACTGACTAACCCCATACCTGAGAATGTGTCACCTGGTACAGAGGTGGGCATCATTAACGTGCAGGATAGAGACTCTGAGAATAACAGACAGGTCCGCTGCTCCATTCAGCAAAACGTCCCTTTTAAGTTGGTTCCTTCTATCAAAAACTATTATTCTCTGGTGACCACAGGACAACTGGACCGTGAAGTAGTGTCTGATTACAACATTACAATCACTGCCAGTGACGAGGGCTCTCCACCTCTGTCCTCCTCTAAAAGTGTTGAGTTATCTGTAGCAGACATCAACGACAACCCACCTGTGTTTGAGGAACAGTCGTACAGCGCATATGTGAGTGAAAATAACAAACCTGGCTCCACTTTATGTTCCGTTAGTGCTCGAGACCCCGACTGGAGACAAAACGGTACAGTGATTTATTCTCTGTTACCCGGTGAGGTGAACGGTGCCCCGGTGTCGTCCTATGTGTCTGTTAACGGAGACACGGGGGTGATCCACGCTGTGAGGTCGTTTGATTATGAACAGTT